GTAATGCCACGTCATATCTTAGTAGGGCTCACGTTTCGCTTTGGTTGACATCAAGACGTGTTTGTATTCGGCACCTATTGCTGCCTGCTTGTCATGGCTGTTTAATTCTTGCTGATCAGGGAACTTCTACGAAGTTTGCGTTTCTTAGAAGTAATCGGACGAAATGCGAAATTTGTTTTTTGCAACTTAAAAGTGGGCTTTGCATGGAAATTTTCAGGATTTATGATGTGGATATGGCTTGTGAGATGCCTACACTCATAATCGACTTCAAGCCAGTACTGGGCCTAAGCACTTCAAACAGTTCACGTTCATTCAGCATCTATAATTATATGGGTAACGAATAAATTTTTAATTCAAATCACATTAATAATGCTTGCGACTGATTGCATAATTTTTCGTTTAAGATTTACTTAATTCGTGAAACAATCGAAATTTTTGGCGTTTTTTTTGGGCAGGGGGAGGGGAGGGTGAGTTTGAATGATCATTTGCTCGCAACTTTCGGTGCTCTAGAATTTTCTTTCTTGTCAGCAAAAAAAGTTTGATTGTGCATTTGTCTGTGAATTTGAGTGTTATGTTACGCTTGCTAGCATTCGTAGCTTGATGAAAGCTATTGACAAATAGTGTGTTTCTGAGTATTTCAGTTTCATTTGACTTTGGGCCGTCATTTCTATTTGGAAGTGATGAAAACAGCATTGGGAAGGTGCATTTAAAAACATTGCTTGCCATCGATAACGATAGCGGTGACATCTATGTTGCAGTCTTTTCGGATAATCGGTAAGCTTTTGGATTTTTTTTTTTTTTTTTTTTCACATAATCGATGTGGTTTCAAAACAAAGCGTTTAAAATTTATTGCACATTAAAACGTTTTCCCTTATTCTAAGTAAACTTAGACCGATTTGATGTGAAAATTAGCAACAGTTGATTAGCTTCTAGTGGTACGATACTCGTATGCGCAATGAGCCGAAGGATCTAACTATTTGGCGGCAAAATTTCCACTCTCTTAACATCGTGGGCTGTAAGCTGGCAGTCAGCCAGATCATTTTTACAAATTCGTGGGAAGCAGGCCCAGGCCGAATTTTAGTAACTTTCGCAAATGCCAGTATTAGTTACTCGTTGATTAATTTATCGAAGGATTCCTGGTTTAATGATTACTTGAAAGCATACTGACGATGTCACAAAAAATCCACAAAAGCAGGCAGAGAGGGAGCCGCCATGAAAACTGTGTGCTACTTATGGAGGCGGAGGGCGGGGGGAGAGGGGCGAAGAAATGAAAAAAGTTGTATGCTGCCTTAAAAGTAGATACACGGCTGAAATACCCCAGGGTTTGTCCTGATTTATAAATGCCGGTGATGTATTAGGTAGCACTTTGCATCCGGATGTGAAGACGAGTGGTTCGATGCTTTGTCATTCCATATCGTTTACAAAAGTGTTATCGCAGCATTAAAAGTTGTGAGTCCCATGTGTGTGTGTGTGTGTGTGTGTATGTGTGTATGTGTGTATGCGTGTGTGTGTGCGTGTGTATGTATGTGTGTGTGTGTAATCGACCACTTATATATGTGACATATACATCGCACATATGTATGAATTTACCACTGTACTGCACAAAGGAAACTAAACTGAGAAGGGAAGGACATCGTGAAATTCCCCGCAACGGAATGATCGAATTCGGCGGGAAGACGAAGCAGGAAAATAGCACTGGATCCTGGGAGCCGATGGGAGTGCTTGTATATCCGGGTAGCTGCAGATCGAAGGGACTCCGTAACTCTAGAGGGGGTAGGTATTGCAGAGGTTAAATAGAGAACCAGTGGTGTTACATCTGTGTGGCTTTTTACGGAATTTTAACAAAAAGTAAAAATTGGCCAACGCACGGGCTGCCCGTGCGAAGATGCGTTTTTTGCAGAGTTCCCCGC